GGCGGCCAGTAACAGTAGTAATGTTAATGTTGCGATTGCTGACCGGGGGGACGCCTACTACTACTACTACTACTACTACTACTATTCTACTACTTGGATCAACCGGAAGGATGGCTAAACCTTGCCCCTGGGTATGGGGCTCACAATTGGGGTTCTGAGGGACAGTAGGTAGAGTGACTAAGTCAAAAAAAGCCTCTTCCTCCAAGTAGGAGAGGCTTATACCCCACGTCTGGGTTACACTGATGTTCAAGATATGGGATCTGCACCATGACATAACGTGGAATGATGTAAGCCCCTGGTAGACAGGGCCATGTTGTATCAGAACCCATCAAAAATTTAGATCCAAATGTACCTTGCATTGAGGGCCAAGGCCTCTGCATAGGGGTTCTACATTGCGAAGGACCTACTCACTTGCAGCAAGTTGGAGGTGTCGAGTTGGAGCCCCTGACATGCAACGAAGAATTCTAGAAAAGGAATCCCACAGATACACAGGGACTACAACGGGATATAGAGGCCCTCCCTTCAGAAGCTCCCAGACCATGTCAAAGACAAGGTTTTTTGGGTCGGCTTAGGGTGCTGGGATGTGGGCTCAGGATGTCCAACCCTCAGTGTGGTCCTACATACACCCATCCTCTAAGTTCCTTTTCCAAAATGACCACGCTACACCAGGTCCTTTCTGTCCTGAGGCCCCTCCTGCCCCTTCATCAGGGCTAATAAAGCAGGCGAATTAAGGGAGAGATCTGGGGGCCCTAAACCCTAAATTGGGGGGACCTATCTGCAGCAAAGCATCGCAAAAGCCTGCCCGCTTTCGGTCCGCCGCGACTTGTGCTTCCCGAATCTGGTCGCACAGGTTGACGAAGCCTTAGAATCACAATATGTGCTAAAATCTAAACTCCTTGAAGGGAGAGTATGTAGGGTTTAGGTCTAAAATCCCTAAAGGGGGTTATATAGGGGATTGTTTAGGGTCCTATGCTACGGGTTATTAAGGGGCATACTAGGAGTTTTGACCATAGCTCACATGGGAGTTCCTCAACAGAGGGGGCTTCTAGAAACCCGAGGGCTCGACAGGGAATACAAGGGGGATCATGGGTTCCCTATGAAGGATTATACACGGGAGATTTTGAGAAACTCCCATATCCTACAGATTCTATTTGGGCTCCTGAAATGTTCGGGTTTAGGATTTGGGGTAGGATGCCATGGGGCTGGGTCTCTCCGGGGTTTGTTAGGCCTCATGCAGCTTCAAAGAAACAAGCTGCGGTCGTGGATGAGGTGAGGGACTCCGGGATGAAGGTTATTCTGAGTTCACTATCTTTTGTAAGGTAGGTAAGGTTGGGATAATATTGGGGTAATATAGGTTATATAAGGATCATGGAAAATGAAATGGAAACTGCTATAGCATATTGAGGTGTAAGGCTTAGCGTTTCAGCTCAAGTACTTGTTGGGGACGATGGTTTGTTGTCGGCAGTGGACTTTCATTCAAGCCAGGTCATTGGCACACGGCGCCACGTCCAGAACTATGACCCCGAACTGAGGCAGGATTGAACCGTATGGTCAGTCTAGGAGCCTGAGGTAACATACCTAAATCCTCCACCCCTAAGTGGTAGTTTCGTGTTCTTTTATCCGTAAATGATAGTCGTATATAACCCATATAACCCTAGAAAAACCTATATAACCCTATATAGCCCTCTATACCCCCTAATTAACATACTTCCTCCCAGCCATTCGATCTCTTGAAGACATCACACTGCAGTCTGCCTCAGCATTGGCGTTACAATGCCTTACATATAGTGAAGAATGTACGTAAAAGAAATGGAAACTACTAGGCGCTACATTTCGGGAAGAAATGGAAACTACTAGGCGATACATAAAGGCAATAATGCAAAGGAAATTGAAACTACTATACTGAAATTTAGGGTCTATGGTTCAGGTATAATAGGGTGCTTATTGAGGGGGATCGTAGGGAATAAGGGATTATGCTACTGAGCTCCGCGCCATCAAAGTCCAAGGCGACATGAGGCAGATAGGGATCCACATTGATTCGACGGTCCTGGGGGCTTTATCTTACTGGGCTTAGTAGGGAGCAAGGGAAAAATGTGTGTATATATGTATATATGTATATATAGGGTTTAGGCTTCAGGGTTGTGGAATCATGTCAACCATTGTACCTACTAGTTCTTGGTAGGAAATATAGAGCCCCCCATGAATGGAGAATCAAACAGAAAAGCAAATGGAAAAAGAAATGGGAACTAGGGAACCATTTGATCATTGGGGTGATGTGTAGGGAATACGGGAAAGACAATGGAAACTACTGCTATACTCGGTTACACAATGGGATTCTGTTATGGGGATAATATCCCCTTATTCCCTACTCAGCCCCATATCCTGTTCCTGGTGACTTCCAAGCCTGTGGGGCTTTGCTTCTGTAATTTCCTTGGCACTGGGCGGCAGTGACCCCGCCTATCGTGTCCTTTCCGGCACAACCAGGGAAAGCTTGTCTAACACTTGTTCTACTGCGATGTGATATATATATATATGTAAAAGTAATTAGGCATACGCACATGGCAGAACATCTGCACATGCGCACATACTTACTCTCCATAAATAGTAGGACGCCAAGATAGACCCCCAAATACTATATACTACTGTAATCCTGATTCTCAGGAGGCCAACAGTGGCACACCTCATTTAGTGAAACCCAAAAAAACTATACATGTAATCCCAGTTCTCATGTCAATTCTCATGTTCTTTGCCATTTGACCTCATCTCCGACGCATCTCCATGACTGGTGCAATTAGATCCCGAAACCCTACTTTGGATGGTTTCAGCTGTGAGGTTGTACGGGTCGGTCCTCGTTGGAATTGGCAAAGTCAAGCTTGGCCACCGCAAGGGGGATGCGCTCAGGGCTAAGCATCCCACTACCTGGAAAGAGGTTTAGGGGAGCCAGGGTTTAGGGTTTAGGGGTTACATACTTGGAGGGTCAGGGAGACTTAGTAAGTATAGGTTAATCATGGGGACAACTAGGGTTACTATATGGATGATAAGGGTCATTAGCCATTTTTCTGGAAGCGCTAGCTTCAAGCCTCAGCCTTCCCCAAGCTCCAGGAGGAGCAGCTCGCCACACAGCTCTGCTGGCTGTAAAAGCAAGGCAACCACCCGAGGGGCCCAAGAATCAGGCACACACTGGAAAGTGACTATCCTCCACTATAGACATGCACAGCAAAAGCATACATCTACACATCAAACTGCTGAGCTTGCTCGCATGGCACAAGAAATTGGAAAGAGAGCCACGTACCCAACATGGCAAGCATCTAGGGGTTATCAACCTACTTACCTCGTCCTCCTGGCCCTCCAAGCAGGGACATATAGGGTTGTGCACGATTTAGGGGTAAGGTTTAGGATCTAGGCATGGGGTTTAGGCCTAGAGGTTGGTCTAGGGATGTATGAGCGAGGTATTCCATTTGCAGGCCCCCGCAATGGGCACCTCCCCCCCTTCTTGTCGCCGTACTTATCGCTGAGCATGTCGCTCACAAAGCCAGAGGAGTTGCATTTTTCTAACTCTGACTTCTTCTGGGCGCGTCCCTCCTCACAACTTCATCTTCGCGATCAGTATCCTAGCAACTGTGATAGCGCTTGTAGGAAGTGGAATCAGAACTGGCATTGCGGAGCCTGAATTTTGCGGCACAGGGCGCCAAAGCCGAGCTTTCTAACAAGAAGAGGCTCAAGACGATTCTGTAATCCTGCTATGGGGGCGATGTGATGACAGCCAGTTCTGTCTTCCTGTTTCGGGTCAGGAGTGTGGGGTTTGCCGCTTTGTATAATCTGAGTAAGATCTCCTAGCCGACGTCCGAGACATTGTCTACGTATGCATAATTCAATAAAACCAAGCTTTTTTTCAAGCGACCGGCTGCACAGGGGTAAGGTGGGATATATGAGGGCTGTATAGGGGGCATATCCAGCCATATTTGGATATCTAGGCAAGGAAAAGAAAGTGGGCATGATGAAGCTGTTCAGGGGTTTGGGTTACAATTCGTGATCCCCCCCGTGCACCAGTGCCTTTAGTCCCAGGTCCCGACCTCAGTCCCTTCTGCTAGCCTAGGCTGATCACATGAGATATGAGCTACAGTCATTATGTCCTACATTTGTTTAAAAGACATGGGTTCCTTGTTAGGGACTATATCAGGAACCATACTAAACTAAGAGGAACCCCTATGTCCACCCGTAATGATACCTTATAGGCCACATATTGCCAGCAGCTCACATCGTTTCTCAACTCAGAAACCCTGATGCGAACCCTGGCGAAGAAATAGCTCATGGCATCGAGGTGACGTGCATCAATCATGTGTTCCCCTACTACACCCCTGTAAACTAAACCCCCCTAGGTTCCCGCTGAACATCCCTAAATAACCTTAATTAAGGGGGGAACCTAGGGGGTAGTATAGAGGGGAACCCATGACTCAAGGGCAGGCAAGTTGCTCAAATCCTTCAAGGTGTCGAAGGCCTCCACTGCGTCAAAGGCTGATTTAGGTAGACTCCCCACCAAGGAAAAGTGGTATAATGGGAATACAAGAGGACCCTGATACAATCACCTAACATCCCCAAACCCTAACCCTAAATCCATTATCTTGTATGGTCACTATTGCTGGGCGGGGGTCCATAAAGGGCAAATGCTCAGTGGAGGGCCGGCTCGATGAAATTTCCCTCGACAATCTCTAGTGAATACGTGTGTTTGCCTTACTTGGAGGGTCAGGGCAACTTTGATACTGGAAAAGAAAATGGAAACTACCATAGCATTTATGGTTCAGGGTTTATGGCGTTTAGGGTTGGAGGGTCAGGGGAACTTAGTAAGTAAGTAGGTTACTAACCCCTATAAACCATACAGTAACTCTGGTCATCCACGTTATTAACCTACTTACTCAATCCCCCTGACCCTCCAAGTACGCTCCAACAAAGCCGTGCTAGTATCCCTAGACCTAATCCCGAAACCCTAAACCCTAAGCCCTAAACACTAATCCCTAAACCCTAAACTCTAAATCCTTACCCGCGGCCTGTCGCACTGACTCGAGCATCTCCTCACGGTGTAGCCGCCTTTGTTAGGTAGGGGTTCCCCAAAATTCGGGGTACCTTTTTAAGGGTTCCCATAATAAGGATTATAATGGTTTGTGGTCTATCTTGGGTTCTCCCCATTTATGGAAAGTACCAGGTCTGCTTAGTCATGATTACTTGGGAGCAAGGGCATGGAACCCTGTAGCACCCCATATGACTGAGTTTCCCCAAAAATCCCAATAACCCAATCCCCGATTCCCAACTAAGCATGGGTATGTAGTAGCAGTCAGCATAATGCGAGGCAGCCAGGGCACATAAAGCGCACGAACTCCGCCAGGTCCAGGGCACCGCTGCCGTTGAAGTCCACGCGAGCATGCAGGCGTCTCACCTTCGAGGGTGGTGATAAGTGGCAACAGAAATGCCCACAATAGAAATACTTGTAGTGGTAGACCGCCCCTACCAACTATGTCCCCAAGCCTGCACATGAGAAGTAGTAACGGTACCGCTGGTCAACACTGCGCTGGTGTGAATAAGTGGGAGCTGTTGCCCCATTCCATTTCAGCGCTCAGATTCTTCAAGCTTTCGCAGTTTGACACATTCTCGCTGACCTGACCCTTAAGTAGGAACTGGCGCCACCGCTACGTACACAACTCTGCCTGGCCCCTCAAACACCACTAATCCGCATTCTTTACCGCTGCTGTGACCTCTCTGTTGGACACAGCTGAGGTCCCTGAAGCTCCCTGTAAACTCGAAGTAACCCCGAGGCATGAAGCACCTCGTCAATGCTGGTGTAGTGCCCCTGAAATCGGAGCATGTCAGATAACTCGCAGACATCGATATCCCCGCTGCCATCCTCGTCAAACTTCTTGAAGGTGGCCTGGAGCCCGAAAGTTCCCTCCAAACGGACATGGAAGCCCTTCGAAAGGGCAAATTATTGTATCTCTCCTTGTAGGGTTGTAGAGGGATGTATAGGGATGTATAGGGCATAGGGCGTTGGCTCCCACAAACGTGCATGGAGTAGCTTTCCGTTTCAACGGGGTTCCATGTAAGATATGGGGACTACAGCCCTGATGGGCGCGGGAAGTTAAACCCTAAACATCCTTAGGGTTTAGGGCTTAACACCCCACACCCAGCGTTGACTGTGGCATCCTTTTCTCGAGGCCTCCTCGAAAATCGGAGTCGATGGCAAAGCGCTTTACATATGAGACATTGACATAGTCTAAACTCCTGGTATCCCCCCTATAACCCCCATAGCAGTCCCCTATCTAATCCCTTATATGAGCCCCTGTAAGGAATTTAGACTGCAGCTCATATATCCCAGTAGTATTTGGGACTGTCTACATGGTTTGCAAAGCGCGAAAAACTTCATCCCCCCCCCCTCAATCATAGAACCGTCTACCTCCTTAGTAACGAATCCCCCCAGTATACTGGCATGGTAAGTTGCATAGCGGGGATGTTTTGTTATTAGGGATGAGGCGGTTTGTTAGGTGGAGAGGATCAGTGAGCTCCATCCACTCCTCACATCTCTCGCCGGCTCTCAGCTTTTTGGATATGAGGGCTTGTCAACCCATTTGTCGCGTATGTAAAAACTTCCCTTTTTCCGGAAATCCCACCTGAACAATGGTGTGTCTACAATGAAATGTCCTGCCTTGATCTCTTGGATCTCAGCTTTGGAGAAACCATCGGACTGCTGCAACATCAGCCTTGGATGACCCGGCAGAGCTGCCAAACTGTTCCTACCGCAGTACACAAACCCTAAACCCCAAACCCTGAATCCTAAATCCTAAACCCTAAACCTATAACCCTAAATCCCTAAACCCTAAATCCCTAAACCCTAAATCCCTAAACCCTCAACCCCTAAACCCTAAACCCTGCATCTCTCAGCTCCCAGGGTACATGAAGTGAACGAAGGAGTCATAATCCATGGACTCAGAATCGAGCCTCAGTCACCGAACTGCGCATGAAAGCAGTTGAGAGTAGTTTAGGGTTATGTGGGGATAATGGAAAATAAAATGGAAACTACTATATTATGCAAGGATATATATAGGGGTTATAAAGGCATGATGGAAATAGAGAATAGGCCTCGGACGTTTAGAGCTCAAGAGTTGCAGCGTGAAAGGGGTGCGTGGGGGGGGCTGAGGGGGGGTGAGGCTTGGTCTTCGTGTAGCATTCTGCATGTCCGCCTTGCACCCAACCTGCTGCAAAGAGCAGTCTGTCAACATCTGACAAGGTGATTTCAGTGGATGCGCCCATAAACCCTGCGCCGAGACAGTCTGTGTCAGGTAATGGCCAAGAACGGCCCTGCTCAGTTGGGTTGACGACAGAAGCAATCTGCAACTATCATCCTGTGGGTTGTGGAGCGTAGGGACCAAACACCGGGATGCGAGAGTTTGGGAGGGGGGAGGTTTCGGAGCCCGGGAAGTTCTGGATCCTGAAGGGGCCGTATATGGGATACTTAGTCGTAATAACAATAGTAATTACATTAGTAGTAATGGTAATTATAAGAATGATAGTAATAAGAATGGTAATAGTAATAGTAGTAATATTAATAACAGTAAGGATACTTCACAAGTACAGGAGGTCATCTAAGGATTCCGGGAGTTGCCAGCATGAGGGTTGAGTGTCATGCGCCGCAGACACATATAAAGACCTAACCCTGAACCCTTAATAGTAGTTTCCATTTTCTTTTCCAGTATCTCAGTATATCCCCAATATATCGCATAATGTAATCGTTTCCATTCTCTTGAATGCCGCCGAAGTTCACTTCCGCACTGGTTTTGTTGCAGACATCTTCGAGATCCTGAGGGTTAAGGGGCGTCAGTAGGGACATGGGGGGTGGCTATTATTTGGCGGAGCGAGTGCTCTTGCAAGGCGCCCTACATCTGCACCCCCGAAAAGGACCCTGATTCTGAACAGCCGCCCACAAGACCGATGAGTATAAATTTCAACTTAAGAGTCACAATTTGACTGACTGGGAAGTTGGACTCACTTAATAATATTAATGGGGTTTCCAAAACATACGGGGCCCATTCTGGGGGTACCCGTACTTGGGATTGCTGACGAACCCCAAATGATCCCCTCTCCCTAATGGTAGAACCCCCCCACCCCGCCCTAATCTTGAATATTCCCAATATACTTTAATATTCCACAATGGGAATATTCAGTATTTGGCGCGTGGGGGGTTCGAATATTAGGGGGAGGGGATTCTGGACATAGCTCAAGTTGGAAGAGTTGTCCAAGGAATCTAGCGCGACCAGGTTTGCAAAACATCCTCAACCCAGATCCCGTGCTCAACAAATTCGACATGGTAGTTTCCAAAAACAGGGGGGGCCTACTATGCACCCCAAATGCTCTACCTTCCAGGAGGAAAAAACCCTAATTCTTGGGAAGCCCCAGATCACCGGTGCGGATCCGTAGTTAAGTGTAGGAATGTAGGAAAAAAGGGGCTTTGAATTTCCAGGTGCAAGCAAGCATCGGTTCTGGCAAAAGCAATTTGCTTGATCTCGCTGATTGTAGATTTGGTCATGGTATATCCCAGCCTCAGCTTGCAACGCAATAGCCGAAGCAGATTCGAAAAATTATGACGTCAACACAAAAACCGAGGGGGCTCCTAAAAGTAAGCGTGCAATTTTGGAGTCTCTATCATAAAAAAATACTAAGTTATGGGGTCTCTATTAACTTCCCCTATTAAGAAGAACTACCTTCAAAGGCCAGCAGCGTTTTGATGACCTTCTGAAGTTCATCCATGTCAATGGAATTGCTGCCATCTTCGTCAAACTTCGTGAAGGCCTCGCCTTGGCAAGCTATTTTTTTATCTTACTGGTACTTAAGGGGAGTGGGAGAGTGAGAGTGAAAGTAGGGACTATTAGAGGTGTATATCTGGGGACTGCATAGGGTTTATTATAAGGATCCACTCCTACGCTGTCCCTTAAGCAACAGTAAGTAGTTATAGTACGCTTCGGGTACTGTCCCACCCAGTAACAATCCATAATGGGGATCCTATTGAAGGCTTTATATACTCATAGGAAACCTTTTAAGCCAACTGTTACTGAGCTGGGGGGGCACTACCCAAAACACACTGCTAGATTACGTTACTATATCATGGTCTGCACTAGACGATTAGATTCTACGTTTACATTATATTGCCATATTATCTTACTGTAATATACTACCAGATGATTTGAGCATAGGAGCTATAGTCTAAGGTCCTTAAAACTTAAAGGGGGGCTATATAAAAACGATATACGGGAGCATTATAGGGCTTGTGAAGGGGGATATCAGGAATTTACCCTGAACCCTAAACCCTATATTGCAGAGGGGGATACTAGGATTGTACTACTGCGGTATGGAAGAGCTCACTGGGAATCAGAGCATTTCATGCCAAGGTTCGGTACGCCTCGAACTCCTGCACCAGGGGGGATTGGGGGTTTACGGTTGAGGGGTTAAGGCTATCTATAAGGATCATATGGGGATTTAGGGTTTAGAGTTATGTTGGGGATATGTCGAGGTTATATTGGGTTAGATATAAGGATCATATCGGGATTTAAGGTTTGTTTTTTATCTCGGACCTTTTCTCGTAAAGGTTAGGGTTTGGGGTTCTACTAAGGTTATATTGGGTTTATATTGGGGTTAAACTGGGATGCTACCCTAATAACACTTTCACCGTGAAGTCTGGCACAGCTCGGCCTACGTGTCGCGACCATCTCTCGCTCCATATGCTAGCAGCACTGGCCAGGCTTACATTCGTGATATCCTACAGTAAAATCTAGCAGTAATGCACAGCAATGTATTTCAGTGAGAAAAATAGCACGAATTTCCTAAAGAAGGGCTCCCCCATTTTGAGGAGCCCTCAGTTGGGATTGCAGGCAGCTGGTGATACGGACAAATAGAAGGGCTAAAAGTGCTACGCAGAGGCTGCTTTACTTGAGGTAGGCGAAGCTGGAACGACACAACAGAGGCGACAGGAAACAGGGGGACAAACAAAAGAAGACAACAATCAGAACAATACCACAACTAGAATAGCCCCGGTAATTCTGATAGGAGCTATAGTCCAAACTCCCAATACCCCGCTTAATAACTACTGTTCTGAAATCTACTCTAAACACGTAGTACCACATCCCTTGCACCCCCTAAAACCCTAAACCCCCCCTCAGCCTACTTGGAGGGTCAGGGGGACTTTGATATTGGAAAAGAAAATGGAAACTGTTAGTATTCAGTATTTTGGGTTTAGGGTTGAAGGGCGGGGGAACTTATCAAGCAGGTTAACAACCCCTTTAGCCCATATAGTAACCCTGGTTATCCCATTATTAACCTACTTACTAAGTCTCCCTGACCTTCCAAGTCAACCCCCTCCCGCAAAACTTCCATTCCAGGCCTTGTCGCGCAGGCGTCGAGCCCAGAGAACAGCTTCGTGGAAGCCCAGACCAAGGCTGAACTTCTTGCCGTAATCCGAGACTTGGATGCTTTGGGGTTAGGGTTTAGGGTTTTCGACTTCAGCAAGTTCAAAGTTTCAGAAGCTCAGAGCTTGGGGTATGGAGGAGTTTGGGGTGGCCTTGATTTTTGAGGGTCAGGGATGTAGGAGGTAAGAGATTTTGACAGTTAAGGACACTGTGGGGCTCCAAAACTTGGAATTAGGTAGGGCCAATGTAGGGTCACGGTGGGGGCCTGTTGCTGTTGGGTGACTGAAGAGGCGTCGTGAAAAGGGAAGCAGAACACAAGGAGCGAAGAAACAAAGCGGCTCAGAAAATCGTCAACAACGGCACAGAAACAGATTAAATCTATGAGCCAAAAGGCTCACACGTCTTCCGCCCATGGTTACAATGCCAGAGATCCCTGGATTTAGACGTTCAAGAGGCGTGTTCAACGTGGATAAACTCAACAGATACATTTCACCCCGATTCTACCTGAACGCCAAATATTCAGAAGCTCTACAGCAGCCACATGTCCCAGCTAGGATTCTATCCATGGTCCCCTGAGCGCACACCTTACACTTCCGATGCAGGAGTCAGAACAATGGTCGAGGTATAGTCCCCCTGTAGAGTTTAGGCCTTACCTGTCTAGGGTTTAGAGTTCAACCATAACCCTAAATTCCTAACCCCTCTCTCTCACAGGTGCTCAGTCCAAGACTGTCAGACGCGAAGTTGAGGCACAAGGCACCGCGTGTTGCAGCATAACCCCAACTCCTAACCCCTAAACCCTAACCCCTAAACCCTAAAGCCCTAAAAATGGGTTCAGGGGCACCCCCCCTTCTCAAAACGCAGCCCGGCCACCAGTGGCGTTTTCGCGCTTCGCGGCCCTGGCGATGCAGTCCTCCAAGCCCATGAGCTTCCGTGGAGGGGTTGAAGGTTTTAGGGTTTAGGCTTTCAGGGTTTGGGTTTTAAGGTTTTAGGATTTGGGGTTTAGGGTTTTAAGGTTTAGGGTTTAGGATTGAAAAAAAAAAGGATTGTAGTATTTTGGGCTCTGTATTGGGGTGCCCTCGTCTAGGGAAACAAGTTTGGGGTTTCCCAAAATTGGGGCGGTACCATTTTGGGGGTCCCCATACTAAGTACTAGAGTATATTGGGGTCTATATTGGGGTGCCCTATTTAGGGAAACTGCCACATGGACCTCTGGAGGATTGCGTTGGGGATCAGAAACTCTCATACTCCATGGGAATTGCGCGGGGCACAAAAAGCCTCTGACGGAGTATGTTGCAATATTTCGGGATGATAGGCTTTTGCTCTGGATACAGACGCCAGGAGTGGACTTTTGCAGCGGATGGGGGCTCATCTTGGCTACCTAAAATCGTACATACAGAGTGGCAGCCGGCGCCTGAACCCCCCCTTCCCCCCAAACAAGCACAGAGCCTTTTTGACAAGGATGTGCACTTTGTAAAGTTCCACTCCCCCAAACTAACATGGAAGCCCATGCAGCGCCCTTCGCACTGGACTGTAGTCTGTCTAGGAATTCCACGTTTGTTCGAGGATGGGGGCTGCAGCCGTTCAGGGTGTATTCCACGGTGGACAGCACGTTGCCATGGGGATGTGCCAAATGTTGCGGGAGGCTGCGCCTCAAAACCCTGAAAACCCAGCCGCTAAACCCTACACGCTGACACCTAGATCCTGGGATATATATACATATGTAGTCACACATATGTGTATATGGATAGGCATGTATGTTCCATGTCCTTTTCCATGTGATTCTCCATTCGAAGCAAAGAAGCAAATGAAAACCAAAACTGATCCAAAGATTGAAGACGGAACCTGCTGCAAATCCCGTGCTTTTGCAGCTTGGGCAGGGCCGAAGAATTGAACCAGGACGTCGCCCAGCATGTCCTTAATTTTGCTTGCGTGGTAATAGGGTTTTGGATTTCAGGATCCATTTTCGGACTGAATTGCTAATTGTGGCCGTAATCGTAGCAGCAACAGCAACAGTAGTAGTCAAGAATGTTGCCGATCAGAACATTAACCCCTTGGGAGTGGCATCTTTTGGGAGGTTGGGGGTTGGGAATTTCAGGGTGTGACATCTTCTATATGTAGTAGTTTCCATTTTGTTTTCCATTATCCCCTTCCCATGGGGTTATATTGGGGATTATATTGGGATTTTTTCCCTAAACCCTAAACCCTAAACCCTAAACCGGTTCTGGGGTCCGCGAGTCGCAGGTTTTCCAACTGGATATTGGGATAATGGAAAATGGAAACTACTATTTTAGGGAATTTATAGGGAGTCTATAGGGGTTGTATAGGGATTATAGGGATTCTATAGGGGCTATATTGGGATATATTATAGAGGGGTTTATATTGGGATAATGGAAAAGAAAATGGATACTGCTAAATAATACAGGGATGTATATCGGGATAATGGAAAAGAAAATGGAAACTACTATATTTTGCAGGGGTTTATATTGGGATAATGGAAAAGAAAATGGAAACTGCAAGGGTGGTGGAGCTTGAGGTTCAGGCTCAACATGCAGCACCTGGCGCCTACTGCTTTTCAGAGTCCGTAGAATCGGCAAGTTAATTGGTACGACATGGGATGTTGTCCCATACCTGTGCGCGATTGTGCCCTTTGCTGCCATAAGGGCTCCAGTATCACAGTGAGGCTGTAGGAAAACCCATTTGTTTCCAGAAGCTCGCGTAGCAGACCATCCTTCGGTGTTGGGTGTATAACATATGGTTGTATAGGGATAATGGAAAAGAAAATGGAAACTACTATAGTATTTAGGGTTGGTCTCTCCACAAAACATGAGCCAGGCATTCATTCGACCCCAAGCCGCTAAAACCTCAACCCTTAACCCTGACACCTGGACTCTGTTAAACACTAAGGCTTTAGGGTTTAGGGTTGAGTATACACCCCAACACCCAAGCCCTGAGCCCCTAAACCGCGTGCCGATCCTGACTACTTGGAGCATTGCGGTGATGTACGGCCCAAATGTTGGCTTGCAGCACATAATTCTAAATGAACCATGTCTCAGTTCATTTAACCAAGCTTCTACAATATGAGCTTCCCTGAATGAAGGTTTTCCTATATAACCCCAATATACTATGTTCCTGATTCTAAGAGTCCCCAAAAGGGTACCTTAAGTGGACCCCGCACCCAGTGATAGTGACTATGAGGGATACTAGGGATTATATTAAGGTCTTCGTATATTCCTATTATACCACTATTACAGGGTGGGGGGTGCTCCTAAAGGGTACATATCATTCTGGGAAACCCTCATGCTGGATCCCCCTAGGCTGCTGTCCGCCTTAAAAAACAACCTGTCGCAAGTACGCCAAAACACTTCGCAAATCCCAAAAGGGCTTAGGGTTTAGGGGTTTAGGGGGGTTTAGGGGGGTTTAGGGTTTGAGGGGTTTAGGGTTTAGAGGGGTTTAGGGTGTAGGGTAGCAGACTACGTCTTCTCCTCCAACCCTGATGTAAGAAACAACCCAAATGCTCAGGCTTTGGGCCCCTACAATACCAGAGAACTCCGATTCTCATTGATATGGTGCTTGAACCCCAAAATACAATGATCCTCATAAAAGGGGCCACCAAAAAGGGTACCCCTAATGTGGGGAAACCCCAAAATGCAGCCCAATAGCTGCAGGCAGGAGATTAGAGCCTTCTCTTCTCCGCCTCCCAGCCGCGAAGATACTGAATTAAAGGGTTAGGACGGTTTGCCATGGAGAACATGTTGGGATTCAGAAGGGATGGCATGCTCAAAGCTTGTTTGCGTGCAGGCGCTAGCAATCTGCACCTGTGACCAAGCAGGTCCAAGCAGCCTTGACAGACATCACATGGGGGTTCCCCATAATTACGGGTACCATTTTCAGGGTCCCCATAGTGAACAAGGATTACAATATATTGGGGTCTATATTGGGGTCCCGTACTTTGGGCAACTACCACACGTTCGGGCGACCTGCTGCAAGTATCTAAAGCACGCTGCAGTCAAGCTTCGCAACTTGCTCGATCACGTCGGTAAAAATGGCAGACAATGTCCTTTGCCAATGAACTGCTGGCATTTGGCCAAGATTGTGTATCAAGCGCCTCTGTTTTCACTGTTCATCGAAGCACGTCATCCAGAAAACAATGATAGAGAAAACGTGAATACCAAACTCTAGAAGTTGTCTCGGGTGAAAATACGAGGGCTCCAAACATCGAATTTCCGTTACGCGATCTCTAGATCCAAGAAGGGCTTCAGATCGTCAACTTGGCGCTGTGTGTTGGCTTTGCTGGTTTAGTCGACGTCATGTCTGGGATTCAGATATGGAGAGTTGTTGCTCAGTTCGACCTCTGCGTTCCCATCTTCTCCAAAGCACTTTTGACGCAAGTGCTGCACTGCCTGCTGCCGAGTGTCTGCACCTCATCAAGGGTGAACCCTTCGGTGTGCCGGTAGCAGTGCATCAGCAGAACCTGCACTGCACCATCATTCATTCGCCGTGAGACTAGTAAACTACACAAAGATGCCAAAGCCGTCCTATAGGTAGTTCCCAAAATTAAGGTCCCATTTTGGTACCCCTAGATATTAGGTGCCGTAAAATTATCCATAACCAAAAGGGGCCCATAGCTTTGAGAACCCCTATATCCTGCAGGAATCCACTCCTTTAGAAATCTGGTCTACCCACATAAACTATAATCTAAACTCCTTAAAGGGGCTTATATAAGGGATTATATGTAGGGGAGTACTATAACGCTTATTAAGGGGGATACCAGGAGTTTAGACCCTAAACTCTAAGCCCCTACACCCTAAACTCAGGATATTCAGAGGGATACCGGGAGTTTAGAGTATAGCTCACATAAAGCCTAAACCGAAATTCTGAGGGCAAGACCACCTCCTCGAAATCCAGAAGGCCTGACCAGTGAGCAACAGGGTGTAGTGACTTACGTAGGGTTAAGGGGTTTAGGGCTTAAGGGTTTAGGTTGAGGGTTTAGGGTTCAGGTTGTAGGGGGTTTAGGGTGTAAGGTGTTTAGGGATATTATGGGGTTTAGTAGTCCAAGGTTAAGGAGTTTCGGGCCTTGCGCTTTGGATAGGGCAACCTGCCAGGGCAACTTTTCAGAAGAATGAGCACAACTGTTCATGTGAGCTATGGTCTAAACTCCTTAAAATGGGGCTATATATGGGATTGTATAGGGGACTACTGTAGGGGTTACTAAGGGGGATACTAGGAGTTTAGACTATAGCTCATGTGTGAGTTTCTCAAAACAGGGGCCCTAGGTGTTACTGGGGGGCCTCTTGGGGTAACATGGGGCTCTTTCGTATGTTGAGAAACTCCCACGAATCAGCAAGGATGCGAGTAATGGAGCAGCGACATTAAACTTGGAAATGCACATGGGAAAGGAAAGCAATCCCAATGAGAAACCATATACTGCTCCAACGCCCCCTCCGAGATAACCAATAGGGTCGCTACCATGTCCTGGTAATACATCGATGATGAACCTCAGCCGAGGTGCCATTTCGGTCCAAGTCAACCAAGTTCAAGGCCTCCTTCACCATGCCTTGCTCAAGGTTAAGGCGTAGCGAAGGGGCTAAGTGGGCTAAGTGATTTCCCACGCCCTAAGATGTCTAAAAGTGGTATACTGGGAATAGCGAGTGACCTAATTATTGCAATAGCGGGTGGTGGGATCACCCTTTGTAGTCGCCTCTGATAAGTTAAGGTCTTGGGCCTGGGCTAGAAGTCATCAGCATTGCAGGAAGATGGTTGCACAGTCTTCTCCGTATAGAAAGCTCAGAACCCTTAATTCAAGTCACTATAATGGGGGAACCATAGTTCACTACTATATAATTATATATATATACATATGCTTATACCCATTATGGTAACTTAATCTACGTAAGTTCTTACTAATTAAGGGGACCCCCAAATAGATTTTGGTATATCGGGACCCTCAAAATGGTACCCATAATTGTGGGAAACCCTCATCCCTACACCCTAAACTCTAAACCCTGATCCCTAAACCCTAAACCTTACACGCTAATCCCTAAACCATAATTCCTAAACCCTGAGTTACCCTAAACCCTACTAAAGTACCCTAAACCATAAAGTACCCTAAACCCTAAACATTAAGTATCCCTTAGGAGGACCCCCCACCCTGTAATAGTGGTAATAAGAATATAAGAGGACCCTCATATGATCCCTATTATCCCTTATTGTCACTATTACTGACTGGGGGGTTCCACCTAAAGTATCCCAGGGATTGGGAAACCCATAACCCTAAACCCCTTATCCCAGGGATTGGGAAGGCAAAGCTTGATCGAATTTCAGAGGCTCCGCTTGCACCCACATACATAGGAGGTAGGGTTTTGGGTTTAAGGGTTTAGGGTCTAAGGGTTTAAGGGTTTAGGGTCTAAGGGTTTAAGGGTTTAGGGTTTAAGGGTTTAGGGTTGAGGGTGTAGGGGGTAGCCATTAAAGCCTTAGAGGGTGATGTGGGTCTAGGGATTAGGGTTTAGCGTTTTCCAAGATCAGGGGTACCATTTTGAGGGTCTCAATAGTGTAAAAGTATGTTGGGCTCTATCTAGGGGTCCCCTTATGGAAGCTACCACATGGGTATGCTTCTCACACCTGGGCCAGTCAAAGACTCGACCATAGGATCAACACCAAAGGGCAGCAGCTTGAGCTATCTGAGACATAGTCCAAACTCCTTTAGGGTTTAGGGTTTAGGGGTTAGGGCTTAGGGTTTAGGGTTTAGGGTTCCCTCTAATAATTACTCCCCTATACAATCCCCTATATAACCCCCTTTAAGGAGTTTAGACTATAGCTCATCTGAAAGTAGCAGCACTGCGATGCCACTACAGACTTTGCAGAACCCCACAATGCGCGTAGCGTTTTTTGGTGATCGAACCCACTGTAAACCCTACGCTCTTATGGGTCAAAGAGGCTTCGTAGCGGCGTGAAGCCCAAGGAGGAAATGAAGGTCCTTGGGTAAGCTGAATGTTTGCATTTACTTTTGGGCTTCAGGGTCAGCATGCAACTTTCGGCCTACATGATGGGCTTGGAGTTTTGGCAGGCATAGCCTAAATGGAGATGATTACAACTCTGGATCCTGGACTCATGTTGTTGGCATCAGGCATACCCTTCTTTTGAAGGTAAGAGACCATCAAGCGACGGTAGCAGACCCAAACTCGAGCTGCTCAGATCACACTTCGACCCTTAGTCTCAGCTAAACAGCTTGGAAGAACTGCCATCATCAGAAAGAAGCTGCTTGCCTCGCAAGATCCCCATCCCGAAACCCCCATATTATCAAAACTCCAGCGTAAAGCGTGATCTGGAAAGTTCGCTAGACCCTGATCCCTATACCCAAACCAGGCTGGAATTTTTCCGAGGAGGGGACAGCAATGTAGACTCAACATCCTCTTATCCCTGTCATCGGCACTCCATGAAAGGGCCCCTGGTTGTTGGAAACCCTCATTTAGCCTAGACAGCAAAGGGGCATCAGCTCCGTGGTGTCAAGGAAGCCGCTCCCATCCTTGTTCAAGCAACGCAGAATTTGGAGTTTACGTCGGGGCGTAATGTCGCCTCGACAATCAGTAAGAGTGTCCCCTCATAATCCCAATACAATATAATCCCGGTACCCGAAACTTGGCCTCTGCGTTTCGGGCTGTGCGGACTACATGTCGAAGTAGACGGACTAATCAGGGCGTGAAAGGATTCATGCCGGGGTTTTGGGCGGCTTCAGAACGATTATACCTGGCGTCCCTTATACTGAAGGCTACATTTCCGGGGGCTGGGGGACGGGTAATTAGGGGTGAAATTGCTGAGATGAATATTCATGTACGAATTTGAGAAACGATAGCTTGGGGTGTGCTATAAGGAGTCGAGGGTTTCCATACCGCCAGGGAATGCTATGAGATGATTTAGGCTTCTTTGGTAATTACTTAATTCATGGAGCTTCAGGGCTCTGAGTTTAATGCTTACGGCTGAAAGTTTGAGGTCAAGCGATACCGTTACGATGCTTATGCCACACAACAAAAAGTAACCAACACGAATTGCAAAAAAAAAGCAACATCTCAACGTATCCTTCTTCCGGACCCCCTCCTGAGGTCCTGAGTGTCGAACGCTATAGGACGATAGGAGCTTCTGAAGAGCAGTTGAGCCGAGCTATGTTTGGCAAGTCCATCTGATTCTCAGGGATGTGCCGGTCAGGGCAGGAGAATGCAATCCGAGCGGCCTCGTCGTAGCTAGAAAAGATTTCCTGCGCAGCATGGATGCGATTTCTGGGTACACGAAGGACAGCCCCCGACTTTTAAAAGGCAAGGTGTTCCCACCTTGTAACGCTGGAGCTCCCAGTCAAGGTAGCGCTCCATGAACGTTCTTAGTTGAATTCATACATAGGGCACTCAGCAGGCGAATATTTCAGCTTCGCAGCTCCTCACAAACACCTTCACAATTGAATCCAGTCCCCCATCGATAGAATGAATATAGGGTTACGGTATATGCGGATCTTATTATAATATACCCAAAGCCATACTCTATCTACTTAAGGGGGACTATAGCCGTAACAAGCACATGCCAATGTATGCTTAACCAGACGTGCTTAGCCAAAGCAGCAGCCACTCCTCGAACATAGCACAGGACCAGCGGAACTGCAAATTCGCAATGCAACAAAACAGTACAAAGGAACGTACGCCATTCCATTTCAATGCATATTCCTGCTACCTTGGTTCTGTGCGGCGCGGTGTAAAAATTGTAGTTTGTTGTTCTGTGGCAGGAGGGCACAAGGACGATTACCAGCAGTATCACGAATTGATTAGGTGGGACGGGTGATGGGAGGTTGGGCCAAGCTTCATGAAGTCCGCCTTTTCAAGCGTCTCGTACTCAGCGCAGCCATCCTGAGCATTCGTCCCAAGACTTCCTAGTAAAATAGATGATTTGGTAGCCAAGTAGGTGTTGAGAGGTTAGGCCTTTTTTAAGACACACTTTGTTCCTACTGCTATTTGCAGCGGTTGGCTTTTGGGGGCTGAGATTCGGGGGCGAGGTGCTTTTGCCCTCCTACCTAGTTTGGACTCAGCATGCAGGGAGGTGTATGGGACTTGGCCCCAAACTACAGTTCCCAAAAAGGGGGACATTTATATCATTTATATAGTCACCCTTATGATGACTTGGGCCATGTTGCGACGAACTTACGGAAATCCCATGTGACCATGTGTGTTGATGGACTGGGGCCGAGAGTGCAACAGTCAGGCGCTTCGTCATTCACATGCAGCGTCGCCAATCCAGCAATCCCTGGGACTGTGCAGCCATAGCTGTGGGCAAAACAATGGCTCGATGAATGCCAATGATAGGTAGGTATGCATCAAATTTAGAAAGCTCCATGTACGATGCGGTCCTTTTCATGGGGGTCCTGAATATCTTCACGGGGTTATCAGAGCCTGCCAATCCATTGTCACGCAAGCCAGGCAGCCGCAATCTCGCGGCACTGTGCAGCATCTGGCAAGGGAAACCCCAGGAACTCCAGCACGTGCGGGAGCTCATCCTGGTCACAAAAACTGAGCTCTTAGAAAAACCTTCTTCTCAAGGTTAGCTGGAGTTATGCGACGAACTCATAGGATTGCCATACCAACTTTTTACAAGCTCTGAACTTGTCCTGTCAGGCATAGTCTTGCTTTGGCAAGGCGACTGAATCCATCAAAGCTCAAGAGAAAATGCAAGCAGCACTTCCCAAACAGGAAGCCGGAGGTTGGCCCTGTCTCCAAAAGGAGCGGCCCGTCTGCAAACCACCTGGAACTTAACTAAACACCCGAAGAAGCCCTGAATCAGAAACCCCAAATCTAGGATTCAGAACAATAACGAAGGATTAGCCAGGACAAAAAAATATTACAGAACCGGGAAAATACCTACAGTCATGCAGACATGGTAATGACGATAGCGACATAGATTACTTGAGACATCCCCTAAAGGGAGTGGCGGCCTTGTGCATCTCAGGCCCATCGGGATCTTTGAAGCGGAAGAAGGCTACATTGTAGCGCTCCAGCTCAGATTCAGAAAGGCCTGGAGCACGAACAGCTTACGCATGCTTAGTTAAGAATGGTGGAATATTGGGGGGGTTTCCCAAAATTAGGGGTACCTACTATAATGGAGAATTAAATGGAAAAGAAAATGGAAAATGAAATGGAAACTGGGATTAGGTAGGGGATTATGGGGATTAGGGTTTCCCAAAATTAGGGGTACCATTTTGGCGGTCCCAATAATAAGGATTATAGTATTTGGGGGGTCTATATTGGGTCCCCCTATTTTGGGAAACTGCCATATGGGTTTGGGGCTATCTTGGGCCATTGTCCTGGAATCTTTGACCGCTATTTGACGGGGTAACCCCCTCGTCATCAGCAAACATTCCGAGCAGGTTCAGAGTCAGCCCTAGTCTTCGCATTTTAGGAACAGCCATGGACCTACTTAAGTCCTCCTACAGTAATAACTTCCGAAGCTACTTTCAAGAGATGGCTTTGCTCTCATTCGAGTGGGTTTGCCAAAAGCAGTGAAGGAGATCCTCGCAGGCAAGGCCATAATAAGGGTAGCTCATGAAGCTTCAGAATCAGCCCTGCCAATTAATTTTCAAGAGCAGTCAGGTAATCGAGTTCTTGGAAAGTCCTTTGAAATAATAAGTAACCTTTCAAGGCTAGCATATGATTTTCTTCGATTAGCCGGCTTTTAGGGCGCGTTGGATGGACAGAGGTGAGTTGAAATGATTTCTAGCATTTTGTTAAACACTTTGAAAACTATGGTTTGGAAGACCGGTCGCAAGCCCAACCACTTAAAGAGAAAGTTCACAAAGGCTGGCGGAAAGCTATGCTTTCTGCAGAGTGATCCCCACACTGCCAATTCCCCTGAAAAGCTCTGGGTCCTCGTATTCGGGTGTTAACAGCAGCAAGACATGCTGTACCCGTTGTTCAGGCTTATCCCGTGGATTTGAAGGTTCGGTGCTAATGCTTTGTCTAAGCACAATTGGGCCTTCGTTTCTCAGTTGCTGATGCCTCAACATACCTATATAGGGTTTTGGAGAGGTGCTGGATCCTTATGCCCGCTGTATCACGATGGAAATGGGGGCCCAAAAAATGATGCTCATGGTGCCAGTCCAGAGTCTTAGATAATTGTTACAGGCATCGACAGAAAATTGTAAAAAACATCAGCTCTGCACAGCGTGTTTCCACGGGCTTGCCCTGTGCCACATGCATGGTACAGGGCTCCCTCTCAGTACCTGCGGATCTTAAGTCTCAAGGAATCACGGCTCCATAACATCTTCTCCGGAAGATTGTACTCACTCATCTCTGCTCAATGCGGAGCCGTGGCTATCCTTGGACGTGACGTTGAACCCACTCGGGATAGGGTGTAAGAAGCAGCTGAAGATAAGAAACGTGTGGCCTTCTGCACCACTGCGTAACCGCTCCAGTACAAGTTGCAGGTCAGGAAGAAGACTTTGCGTCTTCTTCTTCAGCACGTCATCCACACCTCAGTTGCATGCCAGCGCATCCGCAACGGAGGAACTCATGAGTAAAGCTCGACCTGAACTTGGTGCTGAAAGCTTGTGGATCTATGCGGGTTGCTTCCAGTGGGTTGGCGGGTCCAGGGTTTCAGGTGGCGGGACCTCAATGCTGGAAGGCCACTTTTTCTGCAGGAAGCAAGGTGGTGCGATGACATAATGCACATGGGAGTTGGAGATATGAATAGGATTCACGCGGCCTTTCTGCAGGAAGCTTGCACCACGCACCCTTAACTCAAACACCTCGCCCTGCAATGCTGGCTGCTAGCAAACCAGAGCACGCAGGAAAAAGGATCTAGTGAATCTAGTGATTAGGGTTTGTCCATTACTGGCTAGGTGGCCCTCAACCAAGGAATGAATGGTGGTGTAGCAGGAATGTCGGGGCCCAACAAAGGGTGATTACCATCATTCCTCTTGGCCAAAAGTAGACAACAGCCAGCCAAACAGAGAGCTTCTCCAAAAGCAAAGCAAAGTGGGGCTTCTGGATGATAAGGTATCCTTAGGGTTTAGGGTTTAGGGTTGGAAACACAGATGAGGAGCATGTTCCCAAAAAGAGGGTGTTTTGTCAAAGCCTCCAATGCTGGTGGTTGTGGCCACACTAAGCTGTACCACAACCACCAGTTGCGACAGCAAAAAGGAGACCCAACACCAGACGAGCACTGTTGCAAGAGGTACAGGAGCCAAGAGCCCGATAGTCCCCCTTAAGTAGATAGAATATGGGGTATATGGGGATCTGCTTATAAGATAACCAAAGCCATATTCTATCTACTTAAGGGGGATTATAAACCCTGAACCAGAGCCAGAGCAGTTGACCTTAAGTCGCAAAATTGCTTGCAGAGAGGGAAACAAACAACAGGTCTATTGTTTGGGGTTTAGGGAAAAACGCTCAGGAACAAACTGGACAAATGGGTTGTGGACAGCAGATACAAGGACTTTGGGCGACCAGCACGGACAACAACGAGAAACGCTAGTACAACAGCAACGAAACCAATCAGAACAACTTGAACAATCACCAACATAGTGCAGCGCCACCACCACCGCCGCGAGATTTTGAACCATCACCAAAATATTGCAACGGATGCAAAGGGCTCCACTGCCACTTCAGAAAGCTGCTTTGGGCCCCTCTACCTTCGAGGCCACACTTTTCATTGACTAGTAGTTTCAAGAGCTTCCAGGGCTGGAAGTTTGAAGAGCCTTGAATCTGAACTTGGTTATATACATGAGGATTAAATAAGGGTTACACAGGGTGTAGGCTTCAGGGTTCAGGGTTTAGTGCTCAAGGTACATGTACCGAGCCTGCTCCGTTTATGGCCGCCTCATGCAGGGTCAGAAATTCTGAAGTCCACTCGTGATTCTAATTCCAAACCTCAGGGAACAATATGAGATGAGATGATATGATATGATAGGCAGTGTTTCTCAGAAGCATCCTCCGCAAAACTTGGCCCCAAATCTGCCTCCGCTCCCTAATCTGCTTCTAATCCCTCTACATCCTTTGCGGAGGAGCTATCACGGATCCCTGGTTTGAGAAATTCGGATCCAAAATTTGTGGCGTGCCTGAGGTGGCGGTTGGTTCTTCTGCATAATCCATCAACAGAGGAAAGCTGCACTCAGTCCATCTCGGGCCCTGCTATGCCTGCCGAGTCTTTCAGCACTCCGACACCCGGTTTTCAGTTTAAGGCTTCGGGCTGCCAATCTTAAAGTTTCCTTGGTGCCCCGCATCTTGCTCCCGATATGACAGATGCAGATGCACTTCACTTGCCAGAAACTCCACATGCTCGAGATCTAAACTAACCCAGCCTCCTCGAATGATCTAAGGATCTTCCCTGATAATGGATTTATTATTAAGGAACCGAAATGTAAACAAAGTTTTTGCAAAAGGCCTCCCGTTCTACGGTCTGGCAGAGTGTTCCCCCAGCAGGCACGTTAGCCCATCGTCCTGCCGTCATGTGTCCTGCACCCGAACACGTTGGCCTCAAGGGAACTTTCGTTTGTAATAAACGTATGCTTTCCACCGGTAAGCACCGTCACAAACCTGCGACCGGCCCTCACACCCGGCCACCCGTGTGCGGGGGTTGCTTTGCAGGTGCAGCAACTCCCGTCGGTAGGGCTGCAAGGCACAATCGATTACATGATAAGTCAGCCAAAGGAAACCCCATACCATTTTTGGGCAAATCGTGTGCCCCGCCTACATCTACTGCATTCAGAACTACAACTCTATCAAGCACACGACTGCCAAGTTTGGCTGCTCCTTGTTTGCAGATGCAGGTCTGTCAGATCTGTGCTACACGGCCAAAGGCTTCACACTTGGGCTATACCATAATCCGTTCCCGTTGATGTGAAACACCCCCCGCCCCCGAACATGGAATATTCCCTCTCAGAGACCTTATGCGTGCTATTCATATGCACACGCCAATACATGTTCATATGCACGCACCTGTAGGGGGATCTACTCTACTTGATAACCATGGGGTGGAGTCGTTGGGCATAGGTTTCGCTAACGAACCCTGAAACCACACAAATCTTAATTGGGGGCTAGTAGGGAATATGGGAACATATCATATAGTGATGATATGCCCTTATTCCCTACTAGCCCCCATATAGTCCCTAGATAACCCTATCTTACCCCGATATTCCCTTATTCCCTACTAACCACCAGTAAGACTTACCAGGTTCCTTCCTATGTTTCTACTATATTCTTGGGGGTTCCTTCTTTGGGCTTCCCATTTTACTCCCTTTAAAGAATATAGCCCCCCTTGAGCAGATAGAATATATCTTTGGATATATTGCAATAAGATCCCGATTTCCCCCATATTCTATCTACTTAAGGGAGACTATAACCCTAAACCCTAAACCCGAAACCCACAAACAAGACTTTCAGGCCAGTTGCTATGCCGAGAAAACTTGGACAAGCGTCGGGGACCGCGCCTGGGCACCAGAAGCTGCAAGGTAAGCCGCAAGTACATAAGCCCTAAACACCCCCAAATCCCTAAATCCAAATCTTTAGGGTTTAGGGTTTAGGGCCTAATTCCTTAATTCCTAAATCCTTAACCCTTATCCCCAAACCCGACCACTACTGATCAGTCCCCGCGCCCTCTTCTCTCAGAAATGCGTCCGAAGCGCGGCATCGGGAAGGCTTCATCCGGCCCATCGCCAAAGGAGGACTCACTGCTGCTGTCCTGTCATACATAAGCGGGCTGCCAAACCAGTAGCTGAAGTCCACTGAAGGTTTCTAGGCGTGTATAGGGATATGTACGGGTAAATAGGGTTTAGGGAGATATAATACCCCATGGAGAGTCAACTGGAGAAGAAAATTGACATGAAATGGAAACTGAAGTTATAGGGAGGTTTATAGGAATCAAGGTTTCCCAAAATTAGGGGTACCTTTCTTGGCGGTTCCCACAGTACGGATTATAGCATTTTGGGTGTCCAAATTGGGCTCCTTGCACAGAGGAAACTACTACATAATCTCGCTAAAACCCTGTGCATATTCATATACATATATAATCATATATAGTAGCTTCGATTTCATTGCCCATGTGATTTGCCACTTGATTCTCCAGTACTGGGGTAACATTCCCGTATACCCCTATGGACCTACATAGGACTCCCATTTCATGTTCCGCTCTTTCCCATTCGATTCCCATTATTGGGGTCTCCCATTTATGCTCACCCCAGCCCCTTGGCCAAGACTGCATGGCATCAAGCAGCAACTGTGCAGGCCTCCTCGTCGATTGTGGCAAAGCTGTCTCCGAGGACCTCTATGGTGGGACCTTGCCCTCAGCGATTCTGCATCACAGGCCACAGAAGGGGAGGGAGAAAAAAGCGGACCGCGGGCTTGCGGCGCACGCTAGCCACCAACAAATGATGCTGTCATGGAAGACACAGCTAAACGCAAGTAGCCACATCCGAGTATTTCCTGCACAAGAAGGAGAGACTGCATTTCTGCCGGGCCACTCTTCTTGTATGCCGGCGTTGGAAGACGGCCATTCTTGTCCTCCACTGCTCTTAGGTCTTAGGGACCTACGAGCTTCTGTCAGTTGGGGGCTCCCATTAGAGAATTCCAAAAAAATGTTTTTGGTGGAGTTTAAATGTGGCGGGAGCCCGGCTCTTACAAACAAACATCTGTTCTTGATACCCGTCTAGAGTCTAGACTCTCAGGTCCTAGAAGATCTGACTGAACCCCAGCTGCTCTAGCTGCTCGTTGAGTGCTAGATTCCACAGTGGTACCCCGGCAAGTTCCCAAAAACCCAGACCTAACAGGACAGGCCGGATAGAATCTTAGCGAAGATCAACATTGCAATTCGCCTGCTTCTGAAATTGTAGCTTCCCTACGTAAGGGGACCCACTCTGGACCTCAGAATCCTTATAATGGGATTAGTAATGGTGATATTCGTTTTGGCGTGGCACCAAACTGGTACGCCTACTTTCGGCAAACCATCAAATGGCTTCTGACAGCAAAGGCCGGCGTTGCTCGCTTTGAGCAGCCCTGCATCCCATCCATTCGAATGACACTGCGGCTTTTTTGGGGTATATAGGTCTAGGGTAAAGTGTTTGAAGGGGGTATGCATTATAGGGTTTAGGGTTCTCGGGGCCGTGTAGACTTGAGGGTTTGGGCTTGTATGGGGGGACACTCTGGGGATGGACCAGGAGAGACATGTCCTCTGCCTACCTGAAAGCCTCACCAAGCAGTTCTATGTCCTTTTCCTCAGCCTTAGCCCATACAGTCGTCGCGTCTGGTGCCAATATGGCCCCATTAAAGGCCTAAGCACGTAAAAACCTCCATAGGTAAAAGAATTGTTTGCATTTTCTCCTCCATCCCCACTAATTAATTATATGCCCCATGTGAGCCGTAGTCTAAACTCCCAGTATCCGCCTTAATATCCGCTACAGTGCTCCACTATATAATCCACTATATAACCCCTATGGCTCACGTAGCCCTAAACTCTAAAGCCCCCAAATAGCCCTGAACCCAATATACCCACCATATGAACCCATTACCCTAAACCTATATGGGTGGTTCCTGAACCCTTTATACACCCACATAAACCCATTATATACCCTAATCCTATGTGGGTGGTTCCCAAAACAAGGTCCCATTTTGGTACCCTAGCCCATATATGAACAAAGGGGTCCCATAATCTCTCATTTTGAGAGTGACCTACATACCCCTAAACCCTGAACCCTAACCCCTAAGGCCTAAACCCTAAATCCTAAACCCTGAACCCTAAACCCTGAACCCTTAACCCTAAGCCCTGAACCCTAAACCCTGAACTCCAAACCCTTACCAAAACTAAGCCCTAAACCCTAAACCCTGAACTCCAAACCCTAAGTAACCCCCCTGTACACCCCGAGTCTCCGGGTAGCGACTGGCCCGCTTTGAAGACTTGGCTAAGTCTGCCAAGGTGGAGCCCTGGAAGCTGGGCTACGATTTAGGGTTTAGGAATTTTGGTTTAGGAATTCGGGTTTAGGGCTTAGGGTTTAGGAATGAGGGTTTAGATCCAGGAATTAGGGTTTAAGGCTTAGGATTAGGAGTTAGGGTTTAGGAATTAGAGTTCAGGGTTGGGCTTTGCGTGGGGATTGTGAGGGAGCCACATACGGATTACATAGGGCTTTACAAGGGTTCTATAATGATATACATATGCATATTATATGTACATATATATATATATCACGTAGCAAGATACAGAGGATATGGGGGTATTTAGCGGCTTGGACCCCAAAATGAAGAATGAAATGGAAAATGACATGGAAACGAGGGGCTTACAGGTCTGTATAGGGTTTTGGGTTACTTGCGGGTGGCTGGGGCATGAAGGAATGAAAAGAAAATGGAACAACCGTATTGGATTATAGTAGTATGCGCGCCATAGTCTAAAGTCCTAGTTATCCCCTTGATAAGGAATTTAGACTGTGGCTCATGTGGCCCGCACGGTCAACTTGCACGTGCTTGCAGTGCTGCACTGTCAGGACATGTCGTGCAGTGCAGGTACTTGCGTTCCTTAAAACACAACAGGCCGCTTTTTATCGAGGACTTTGGGGAAAGTTGGTTGGCTAATCCAGGGGTGGAGGTGTGATTCACTGAATTTACTGTCCGTTGATAAAGCACTCCATGGCAGAGCTACCAAGCATTCCAATTTTGCCGCTTTACGCTTGCATGTTCGCGAGGTGAGGTGGGGCCGGGCTTGCGTAGCAAAGAGGATAAGCGTATGAAATGCACACTGTCCAGGCCAAGCCCTAAATTATGAAAGTCCTCCAAAAAGCCCTCCTCATATCCCTCGACAGGTATGAACACGCAAAAACTCACACACAGCTGGCCTGCCACTCAGTTTGGGGGCCTTGCGCGCAGAAAAACAGCTCAGCTAGGGATTGGTAGAACTCTGTGGAGGTTTCTCTTTTTGCACATTTACCTCTATAGTCTCGCTACATGGGATTAGGGTCCCTAGATAGGCCCTTTATGAGAAGCCGCCATGCCTTTTCCTCCCTTCAGCTCAAAGACCCATGCTCTTCCAGAATAGCCCAAGAGCAATCCCCTCCCCCTAATCAACCCCCCACCCCCCCAACATTAAATACTCCCCGTTATGATATCTTATATTGGGAGTGTTTAATATTCGGGGGGGAGGGGGTGGGTCAGGGTTTCAATAGTAGGGGGGGAGTACTCAGGAAACTGTAGGAGTGGGGATTATATCGGGATTCTGCAGGGATGTATGGGTAGTAGAGGAGGGATTATCAAGGGGCTCAATAGGTTTAAACGGGGACATATAGGAGTAGTGGCGAAACAGTTGGAAAATCTGATGGAAAACCAAACGGAAACCAAAGTTACACGGGGTTCCATAAGGATTGCAATGCCTGCCCGCCAACAACAAAACCCCCATCCCCCTGATGATGAACATTCCCCAGTCATATAATGAAACTATATCGGGAATTTGGGGTGGGGGATTGTATCTTTTGGGGAATGGATTACTCAGATTCATGCTGGTGGTAGCGTTGATAGCGGTAGCAGCAGCAGCAGCAGCAGCAGCAGCCGCAGCAGCCGCAGCAGCCGCAGCAGCCGCAGCAGCCGCAGCAGCCGCAGCAGCAGTAGCTGGAGGACTTGCAGCACTAGCAATATTCAAGGCAATTCGATTATGCTGAATTTCCATCCAGGCTGTTGACTGCTAATTACAGTCTGAATAGGGTTTCTGGAGAAAGCATTGAGGGGAAGAATCCCGCGGAACAGCCCAAACTTTCTTGATGTAGACCCCTGATTAATTAACACCCTCTTTCTTAGGACCTTAACATTGGGATCCCTATCATAATCATAATCCCTATTAAGGGGAGGGGAATTACATTGATACATGAGGAGTTTCCGCACATAATCCCTGCGGACCCTCTAACAAAAAGCCATGATCCATGTGGTTTCCTCGTGTAACCTTCGATTCCCTGGCAGCCCCGTTTGGAGAAACTCCCCTAAACCGTAAACCCAGCACCCAAAATCCCAAACCCAATCCCCAAACCCCCAACCCTAAGCCTCAGATACAGAGCCCTCAACCTTGATGACAAAGCCCCAAGCCCCTACCCTAAACACCAACCTCCCAAACCCCGACGTGTTTTTTGTAAGAATCTGTCCCCCCCTTAAGAAACAGATGTTATCCTCATTCTAGGGGCGCTTCAACGGGACCCTTCATTGTTGAAAACCCCATCTGGTTGTGCCATGGTGCTGATGGGCCGAAATGGCTCCCCCACCATCCCTTTGGGAATGGCCTCCTCTACCTGGTGCTGAGCGGGGAACAGGTTTATAGAATGACTACTTGGAGGGTCAGGGGGACTTAGTAAGTAGGTTAATAATTGGGATGACTAGGGCTACTATTTGGCTCATAAGGGTTTTGAACTTACTTACTTAGTCTCCCTGACCCTTCAAGTATGATTATGCGCCCAGGATTATATGCGTCTAGCTACCACAGGGATCCATTCCCTACTGACCACCGCCTAGTCCTATCCTCGCACCTCCAAACGGTAGCTTTCAAGCTGGGGGTTGAAGCAGTTTAGGCTGAGTTGGGTTCGTGGAGCCTAGACCCATGCATGAAATACTGAGGGGAAACAGAAACAAACTTCCTCTTCTCTGCTTCGAGGATCGGATCATCGATGCTAAACGTAGTGGCAATAGTAGTAGCGGCCATTATAAACACAAGATGAGTACCCGCTGAGGTTATAATAGTGGCAGTACTAGTGATCAACACTACGTAACAACAGTGACGGCTTTAACAAAATGACCGCTACCCCAAAAACCCTGTCATTCTTGCTATCAGAAACCCCCAAAAATACCCGGCATACCTGCGGTTGAAGTTCAACCGCTACCCGCATGTGAGCCCTGGACTAAAGGTATAGCAAAATCCTCATCTAGGTCCCCACTACACCCCCTAAACACGCCCTGATAGCTCCCCTCAACCTAACTTCAGTCCGTAGCTCATGTAACCTCTGAGCAACGCCAATTATGATGGGGCAGTTCCATGTAACTATTTCAAGAAGTTGGGATCTAAAATCTAAACCCCTAAACCCTAAACCCTAATGGGGAAGCAAAACGGATTACTGCAACCTGCGGCTTGTAAATGAGAGACCCTTGGAGATACAGGGGTGGATGACCATTTGGAAAAGTAGGACCCTGCCAGTTCTTGCTTGATTGTTAGGATTCGCGCTCGGGAATGACGTTTGAACTGCTATGTACAGTCGGGGCTATGGGGTAGGGTTTACGGGTGGTTTAGGCGCTATTTGGGGCCAGTGGGCTGTATGAACCTGAGTCGCCTTGAGCTCCCCAAACATCACTTTGGCCAACCTTTTTGAACCCTGATTGCGACAACTGCCACTTTGCTCCCAATTGCCTGGCAACGGGGAAGCTAGACTGATGTGGTCGCCATGGCACTAGAGTCTGAATGCACAAGGCTAGTCTTGTCCTGCCTGCCGTTGCTAGACGTGTTTGCAGGGTTTCAGTGCTGCATTCCAGAACCAAGACAGAACGCTTACAATGAATCGAATGCGTCGGCAACAGCAGTTGGCAAAACTTGCATTTCATCTTCCGTGTTCTTGTCCATTTGATTCTCCATTCTTGGGGGTAATATATATATATATATGTATTTATTTATTTTATTCATTTATATTACCCCTATATTCCATTACTGGGGTAATATATATTATACCCCTCTATTCCATTATCCCCAATCATCTTTGGATGTGACTTGCTTCGCCAAGGTCTGGCTTTCTCCTTTTTGACTTATGCTCTCGGAGGCGGCATCCACTCAACAGGGGTATATAAGGTTACATAAGGGTATATAAGGGTATATAGGGGTTGTATAGGGATATATTGGGGTTATACAGGGGTATACAAGGGTATATAGAGGGTATAGGGGTTATATAGTGATATATTGGGGTTATATTGGGGTAATGGAAAAGAAATTGGAAACTACCGTAATTGGGCGTGATCTCCTGTTGCCACTTCCCGTCTGCGAAGATGAGCATGGAGCACCGATAGCAGTCGCAGCCTGACTTTTTCCCCATCGCGGCCAGAGGCCTGGTCTTACACCGGTCCATCGCCAATGGTCCCCCGAAGGTAGATAGAATATGGAGTATACCTGGGTCTTCTAATGATATGAAGCAATGTCATATTCTATCTGCGTAAGGTGGACTATACATGACTGAAGAAACAGACAACGCAGCAGCGCTTGTTCGAGCCATGAGGCTGTACTGCACCTCCGTCTGCAAGCCTCTCTCGCATGCAGATTTATCAACTATCAAAATAGAATCCCCAATATACTACTATAGTAGTTCCTATATGCTTTTCCAATACACCTTCTACAACCCTATAAAATCCCTATAACCCTTCGTTATGGTAGTTTCCCTTTTTATGTAACACCAACCATGCGTGCGTTACAGCTCATAGGCATAGCCAGGGCTAAGTTTGAGTCAAGTCCAGCAGAGTAGCAGTAGTAGCAACAATAGTGGTAATAGTAGCAATAATACAAAAATATCATATTAACAAAAGAGTAATCATCATAATGAAAAACCACTAATACTTGATAGCAGCCATAATAGTATAGTAATAATACTAAGAGTAAGTATAAGACGGCTTTGCCTGCTTGCCTTTTGCAAGCCGACAGAGTACAACGCTGCCGCGCAGCTGGATGTCAAACTTGTTTGTGTGTCATGCTCTCACCCTACTGAATTGCCAAGCCCTTCCTGCGTCCAGCTGGACGGACGGAAAAACAAACATAAAAAGCAAAAGACTGCCCCCTGCGGAACTCGAGAAGTTTGATGGGAAGTGAGTAAGGCCAAATCGTCTCTCAACTAGCACCTGCACCTGTTGCGAATGCCGCAACACGCCTGCAATAAATCTTGGAAGGGCTGGCTCTGCTGCATCATGCAGCTGCTGCGGAACCAAGCCCAGCTTACGCCAATGAGAATCACTTCCTGCTCGCAGAAGTGATCCCACAATGCGGACGGTGCCATAAGTGGAGCACAGCTCTCATGCACACATGGTATGCCACCCAATAATCCTAAACATCCAAGGTTCCATGAGTTGCCCGAAGGTCAGGCACGCTCCACTCGGACAAGCTGGTCTAAGAGCTTTGCCGCACTCTCCAACTACACCCTGCATGCTGCAACACGGAACTGCCTTGGAGCTAGGACATGCTAGTCTCATTGCTACTTCATGAAGGGCTGTCCAAGCTCGGTCATGGCAGCCGCGTGCCGCACGAAGACAAAAAATCAAGCTTCAGCAGCGCTCAGGCAGGAACAGGCATGGGCACTCCCATATCAAACGGCATCCCGGGCATGGACTGCATCAGATGACAAGCTGGAAAATTGCCTCAGACTTCAGGGCTGCGGGCCACGAGTCGTCATGAATATTCAGTGGAATTCTGGAAGGACTTTTGAGCAACCGCCAGACTAGCTCGCACTATTTGGTTGGCAGCGAGGAACCGAATTATCCGAAATTCTCCCGACGGTGAGTGGCAAGGGGGAGGACGTGGGGACTAGAAAAGGAGTGAGCCTTCTAATTCAGGCATTTCACTAGCAGAGCGACTTTCCTCTAAACGTAACCCAAACTAAACAAGAAGGTCGATAGGGCATTTCACAACATCAAGGTCTTCACACAGATAAGGTGCATGCATGTATGCATGTATGCAAGCATGTATGTGTGTACGCATGTACACACAAAATGCTAGAAACTTTTTTCAAGCAGGGACCGCATGTCAACCTAAATTACCAGCAGTTCCCGAATGGAACCCTGAATCCTTCGAATCCTAAACCCTTGAACACTACATCCCCAAGCGCCAACTCCGCTGTCCTCCTGCTTATCCCTATATTCACCCCTTTACCCTATGCATATCCCTAGATACTTTAGTTTAGGGCTTCGGGTTTCACACATCTATATCTCTACTGGAGGTTCCCTGAACATACTTTCCAATTTCTTCAACTATGTGCATAAGAACCAAATGAAAATCTTTTTTTTCTACCAGAGAGCATCTCCTTATAAACCCTAACCCTAAGCCTACACCTCAGACCCTAAACCCTACCTAGAAAGCCAGTAGCCAATGCTTTTGGCAACTTTCCCCTAATTTCCTATTAGCTTGGGTTAAAGTAGCCCATTGTTAGGGGTAAGTAGGCTTTCTAGGTATACCCTAAACCCTGAGCTGGTAGCACCTATCCCTATCCTAACCCGGCCTCAGAACCCCACTACAAATCATAGTTTTTGGTTGTTACTGGGAAAAGAGTAACAAAACACATATTTTGGACGTCCCTATAGAAACCCTGAAATTCCCCCTATTACCCCTATTATCGTGGGAAACTCCCATGCACCCTAAGCCCTAAAACTCTAAAATCCCAAAACCCTAAACCCTAAACCGTAAAAGCCTAAACACTAAAACCCCAAAACCCTGAAACCTTAAACCCTAGAACCCTAAACCCTGAAACCCTAAAACCCCAAAACCTTAAGCCCCCTAGACCCTAGAACCCTAAATCCCCCCGCCCGCCCACGCCTCACAGCAGCCCGAAGGTTGAGAACTGCCCGAGGCTTGGGGCTCTCCGAGCCATGATCTCCTCAACAGCAAGGGCTTCAGATCCTAACTTTGGGGTTCAGGGTTTGGGGTTTAGGGTTTAGGATTTAGGGTGTGGGGTTTAGAGATTAGGAGTTTAGGGTTTAGAGATTAGGGGTTTAGGGTTTAGGATTAGGGTTTAGGGTTTAGGGATTAGGGTTTAGGGTTTTGGGGTGTGGGGTTTGGCGGTTTAAGGGTTTTGGGTTTAGGACTTCGGGTTCTCGGGTTTTGAGGTTTAGCGTAGGTAGAGATCTACAGGGGAATATAGGGAACCTATGAGGATACGTAGGGCTACATGGGGATTTATGCGTTGTTGCTTTTAGTTTGGGGCTTCCAAAAAATTTCACGGGTCCCTTTCCGGATGTCCCCAAAATACGGATTATATATGGTACCCTGAGGTATATACTGTAAGTCATATCAGCCCTTGTTTCGGAAACTCCCATGTTTAGAATTTCCTTGCTGGCAGTTGAGGGGGAATTGGGGAGGGGATATAGGTACGTACTATTGGCGGTTATATCAGGGACCATTATGAGGATCCACTCTCCCCACTCGCGCTGAATGAATGGACAAGTAAGGGCTAATTATGAGATTTAGGCTTCTAGGTTTGGGATCCAGGGTTTGATTCATGCTGTGGGCTTTGCCTTGAGCATTTGGGGCTTGGTC